GTGTCATTAGTTCATTCCAGTTGTATTTTTAGTTTTATCATGCCCATCTGTTTTTGACTAATGACATTGTTGACGCTTAAGGTTCTGTCCTTATTATCTAAATAGCCAAGTACAGTTAATTTTCTATGTAATTATTGTTAATCAACTACTTGGTGTCTTAATTTCCTAATTTTCTGGAAGAAGAGATAAAACTGAAGCCCGTTATTGCATTTGATTGTGGTAAGATCTTTCTCTTACTGCTCTTAAAAAAATATACTGTTCAATAAGAATTGTTGTCCAGAAGTTCTTGTACTCCATTCTATTTAGTCATGATATCTCATTATTGTTATTTCTGTTGTTGTTGTTGTTAAACAATCCAAAGAAAATAATAAAAAGAGGAGGCTAGGGTTTCATTGATATTGCACAATTCAATTGAATACAAAAAGTATGATTTAACCTAAATACAAAGATATATATATAGGCTAAACAAAGGAAATAATGAAAAGACAAATCTACCCTTAATAAACAATAAAACAAAATAACTCATATTTCTTAACAGTTGTTATATTTTTATAAGAATCAAATGGGGAGTTAAGAGATTTATTACCAGGAAATAGGGGTATAAAATAAGCGAAGAAGCTCCACAGAATCCCTGTGTTATCTGGGATATGCAAAGTTTGAACCATTCCAATACATACGAATTTAGAGTCAGGATTTAAGTGAATGCATTATTCTAGTCAACCATTTGAATTCTTATTTTAATTTTTTAATATTTTATCGCTTCTATCCTAATGAAGAATAAAGAGACATAAGGACCTCCAACTCTTCTTTCCTCTGTACAAGCAGTTGCCCAAACGACTGTAATGAAAGCAATCTTTGATTAATAACTTTGTTTCTGTCTTTAAATTGATCTTATCTTGCTTCTTTGTCTTTGACTGAAAAAAAATCTGCCTTAGCTGAAATTAGGGAGCGAGATTGGTAAAATGTGGTTACATGCCATATGGATACTGCACAAGCATAAGTATGGAGGCCTCAAAACTTCGTTCTTGGTGAGCATATTTTGAGGCCATGCCCGGAAAATCCAGCACCTGTTATAGTTAGAGTTTTTTTTTCTCGTTCTTTGGTTAGGTAAAATTTCTAAAAGATTCTTGAAACCCAGTTGTTGCTAAGTGTCTGATGAATTAGGAGTCTGGCTTCTTTTCAGTTTCATATTTTTCCAGATATTCAATATGAGAAATAAATTGGACCATGACGTAATACTTGATTTATCAGTAGTTTTGAGATATAATCTGCTGGCAAAAAAAAGTCCCTGGAATCTGAAAAATTTGGAAAATCATTCTGACTGCATCATTTCTTTATCTTTTACATGGATTGGGGTTGATGATCTTTTTGTTAATCTGGTAATAGGCATGTGCTATTAGTGCATGTGGCAATTTTGCTGTTCTGGGGACAACAGGTGGTTGGATTGAGCGATTTAATCTTCAATCAGTAATAAGCCGAGGCTGCTACCTGGACATGTCAGAAAGAAAAAGCTGTGTCCATAATGGGGAAGCGTTTGGAATCGCTTGTGATTCAACAAATACTCTATTGATCAGTGCCCGGTATCATGGAGATATAAAGGTCTGTATTTTTTCTCTCAAAATTATGCTCTGCTTCCCTTAGCATGTATGATTCACTTGTATGTGTCTGTAAGGGTGTGCACGTATTAACCTTATACTATGTCAAAAATTAAATTTTGATGCATCTTATTTTGGATTTTGTCTTACTGATAAATGAACACTTTGAAAGAAATGGATTACGTTACTTTGCCCAAAAGTTCTGCAGTACAAAAACACTTTATGATTGCCTTAATCATGATACTATCCCTTCCACATAGTGTTATATATAGTGACAAAAACAATTTATGGATTTCTGGGGTGTAGCCACCTGTTCCTGATCTGCCTCGATTTTCTGTATTTTGTGAAAATGAATATAGCTGCTATTGAGGTCCATATATGCGTTTGTTTTTTGGTTAAATATTTCCAGCAAGAAGCTCTCTTGTTCAAAAGAACAAAGTTTTTGTGGAAAGTTCATTTCTCTAAGGTTTTGCTCTGCAGGTTTGGGATTTTAAAAGATGTGAAATAAAATCCAGATGGGAAATTGGCTGTTCTTTGGTTAAGATTTTTTCCATCGAATTAATGGTAATATTTCTAAATCAGTTATTTAATTTGATGATCTCTCTCTCTCTCTCTCTCACACACATGCATGTGTGCAGCATACACCTGTTTTCTCACCTGTAACCTATTAGGAGTATATTTGTTTGTTTGTTTTTTTTTTTTATCTTTCTTGAAAATGGTTTTTATAATAATATTTATTTGTATTTGTGTTTAGTTTTGTTTTGTGTTTGTGTTTTCTGAAAAAAAAAAAAAAAGAAGGTTTTTCTCATTGGGGTTGAAATTTGGTGAAATGGTTTACTATTTCATCATTTCTGGTTACGTGTTTTGTATATATCATATACATTTTATTTTGTATATATTCTAGTTTACATGAGCATGTGAGATATAGTTTATAGGGTAGGGTGTATTTCACAGTTGGTTTATTCTTAAAAACTTGGGGTTTCTTGTTAGGATTGTTGTTTATTGAAATTACAAGTGTAATGTACATGTTTTGTGTATTTTGTATCCTTTGTGAATTGTTTTGTGACTATTTAGAGGCTTGTGGGGTTAGTGAAAAATCGGAGTTAAATTATTTAGGCCGCAGGCCGCATTATACTATGTTTGTGTGTTTTTAATTAGCTAAAAGTAGTCATTTTTCTAATTGTGTTGAAAGGCAATACAATTATAATTTCAATAATGTTATGCTTACTCACGAGCTTACTAATCGCCTTATTACCTTTGTTAAAATTATATATGGTACCTGTACTATGCGTATGGTATCCGTACTATGCGTTATATTTACAATGGATGGTAAGATCGTGAGTAAGCATATCATTACTCTTATTTACTCTTATAATTTTGTTCTTTGCTTTATTATTATAGAGATTAAACCCAAATTGTTTAAAATTTGTATATGTTTTAGTTTGCATAGGAATGTGAGATATGTTTTATAAGGTGTATTTCATACTCAGGTGATTCTTTAAAAAAAAAATGGGTTTCTATTTAAGATTGTTGTTTGCTAAAACGGTAAATGTAGCCAAATAAGCTAGTGTGGTATTGCATCAATACTTGTTCCTTGATCTCTTAAATTTTCCTTTCTAAATTTCTAATTACATTACTTATTTGAAGCAATCATTTCAATATTCATTATCATGTCTTGTTAGGTTTTTGGGCAACAAAAGGAGGATTTTTTTTTTTTTTTTTTTTTGTGTCTTTTGCAACTTTTAAATTGATATATGTAATGCATGGCTATTATAATTTTTTTTTTATACGTATATAAACTCGTAGTTTCCATGCACAAGGCACGGCTACACATTGGGTTTGCCTATGAGCATCTTGTAGAAATTTGATGCATGGATATGAATTAGATGCTTGGGGACGCTGCACCTCCTGATATATTTGATGAAGATGGAAAAGAATTGACACTAAATATTAGCAAAAAAGGATCAATTTCTAGCAGGGAGCTCAAGGGAGAATCCTCCCTACACGCTGAACATGCAAGGCCAGGGTGCTTAGCGTGAAAGAAGCGTGTAGGGCTAATCCAATTAAATTCATGTCATAAAATTTGTTTTATGCATAAATATATAAAATTTAATTTAATTATTTTTTGTTGCATCAATTTTCATTTAATCCGAGTACCCGCCCAAATCCCATGGAACCAGAACCAGTCGGTTCTTGGGATTTGGAACCTGAACCAGAACTGACTAGTTTAGATTCCTAAATGTCTAGAACCGAAACTTGAAACATAGGTTCTGGGTACCCAGGAAAATTACAGTACCCCTTAGGTTGTAGAAATTGATTAATTAAGGTTATACCAAAGTCTACTTTGTAAAAACTTTTCAAAGGTCTTTTTTAATAATGAAAAGTATCATTTACTACCAGTCAAAGGCAGTTTAACTCTCACCTTAAGTAGCAGATAACATAATAACAGGGATGTTTGTGCAAATTTCTCAAACATTAAGATTTTTATATAATTTTTTAACACCTCCTGAGGTTGTATAAGATTATCCCTATATACAATTTTCTTTCATGCAAATGAAAATGAAATGGGTTCCATATAATTTAATCCTTATGGTTTTTTTTTTTTTTTTTTTTAATGAATAATTATAACATTAAAATATAGATATATATTATACTGAACATAAAATTTGAAATGTAATATTATGCATAAAGAGATCACTCATTTTTAAGAACAAATTCAATGATTTCTATATATGATAGTTCTTGATATCAAATAATAATAAAAAGAACTTAAATTTAATATTAATGTAATACTTTTAAAACTTGAAAATTTACTATCATAATATCGTAAAAAACAAATGAATAATATAATTTTTTTTTCCAAAACAAATGTATGTGTATCCGTCTAGTCATAATAAGACACGTTAATTTAATTTATTCATATGTTAATTTAATCGCAACGAAACATGTCAATGCATTGTGTAAGTATCTCTCATGTATAATGAGACTGAATAGGAGTGTGCATCCAATTGAGTAGGTATCTCTCTTAAATAAGTATACGTGTATTTGTCTAATCATGATGAGATATACTAAAGATATATATCAATCCAATGGCAATAAAGATGTGTCCATATAAATATCTCTCGGGATATAGTGTAATTGAATAGACGTTTATGCATGGTAAAAAATTGCTTCTTTGAAATGAGTTTTTTTAAACATTATTGATTAACAAAATGAGGAGATAATCATGATCCTTGGCATAAAAAGGCGGGAAAACACCCTCGTTGAGTATTGGCGCTTATAAAGTTACCGTTCCTTTCGAGTAGTGAAACGACGTCGTGTTCTTGACATTCTTGTTGCTAGGCAACAAACACACTCGCATAAGAAGAAAGCCCTGTCAATCTACTTGCTCAGTCACGCTTCCTACAGTAAATCTGAAACCCGAATTCATCTTCAAATCACATCAGCTCTCGCTGTAACACTCCTCTTTGGTAAGTTTGTACTTTTATGCAAGTCTCCATTTTGATTTCTGTGAATTGTATTGTTACATAGTTCCATTAATTGCAAATAGATTGTCATTTAATCCAACTTAAGTTCTTCTGTGGTAGCTGTGAATTATTTTTATTTCTGCGTGGTTGATTGTTGAGGAACACTGTTAAAATTACAAACATTTTTGCCTTAATTTTGTTGCGTTTAAATGAAGTGATTTTTTTTTAGATTATAATCATATTTGAAAAGTTCTTTTTTTAGCAAAAAAAAAAAAAAAAAAAAAAACTCTTGATGGGTCTTTCTGCTTTGTTTTGTTTTTTTATTAACGCACTTTTTGTAGAAATGCTTTTGCTTACTGCGAAAATCATTGTTCATATAATCCTATGAAATGGAAAGAAAAGCATCTTTCAGATCTACTGTTTGCATTACTAATTTACAAATTGAGGGGCAGTAGAATTGATTTTGTTTGAACCTTATGACAGAAGTAACATGGATGAAGTAAATTTCCACATAGACGACATCTGTATGTATGTTGATAATTTGATGGAAAGGAATTGGAAGGACTATAGGTATGAGCTCTATCAGTATTTTAAAGGGTTCAAGTCGACAGAAGAGGCACGCCAGTATCCGTATGGACATGTCACACAAGAAGATTGGAGTTGGTTATGCACGTTCTTTGAAAATAAGTACTCTGAGGTGAATAGTTATTTGTTTTTTTGTTTGTTTATTTTTCATTCGAATGTTAACTTTTCTATTTCTGATGTGCAGAGGCGGCCTAAGAAGGACCATGCTTCTCGAGTACAGCTCCCATATAAACATCGGGCATGGATAAAATCCTCTTTATGCCACAGTGATGATGACGACGATGATGAGGTATGGTATTTAAAAGTTGAATTTTAATTAGTAGTGCATATTTTCGTTATTATATAGAGAAAACTAACTGGAGAGAGTCATTCAGGAGGAGCTATTTCATGACACACATCTTCCAGCTGCATCAAATCCACCGACAGTGGAGTTGCATGCTGACACAGGGGAGTTGCGCAAAGAGATGGACGAGTTGCGTGCAATGGTTAATAATCAATGGGCAGGTGCAGATATGATCAATTCTATCCTGCAGGATCAGCAAGAACGATTGAGGCGGTTAGAGGAGCGGGTCTTCAATGAGAAAGACAATGTTGCTCTGGATCAAGAAGCAAAAGTTTGGAATCAGGAAGAACGATCGAGGCGGTTGGAGGAACAAATCTTCGCTAGACATGAAAACGAAAACAACTTATCTGATCCTGTTTTCTCTTCTAGCATGCCTGGCCTTAATTAGCCACAGATCCACTTCTAATTGTTCTTGATATATGGCATCAAGAGACTTGCATATTCCTCGTAACAGCCTATCTGACACAGTGTTTGAACTTTATACTTTCTTTTTCTTTTACTCGTTTTCTTATTTTTCCTATTTTATAGTTCAGTTTTCCCGCACCAACAGGGACCTGCAATGGTTTGCCTTTGCTGCGTGAAAGACCACCACTATTGATAGCCCACAACTCTCACTTTTGTTGGGATCTACTGTATCTCCATTTCTTGATTCCAGGTTTTCCTAGAACTCCATCTATTCTTCTCTCTCTTCTACAAAAAGAACCAAGTAAACCCAGATGCATTTACTGCAAATCTCACTAACAAAGAGTAATGTTATTTTTCGCTAGCATTTCTGGGTTTACTAGCAGGTTATCAAAAATATTTAGTGGCATTTGTTTGTCATTCTTTATAATTTATTTTGAGATACTTTGATAAAAGTTATCATAATTCCCTTTGAATTCGAATTGCCATCAAGTTTTAAGTTCCTATCTTTCTTTAACCTCTGCTGGCATGCAATGCAAGCCACTGTGTCATGTTTATGACAACTATAGTGTAAATTTGTGTATTACGATACGAATAAAAAATTGTACCTGCAGTTTGAATATTATGTTTTCAAGATGTTTTCCTTGAAAATATAAGATGCTGTCTTGAAACACTTTCAAGACAAACCATCTTGAAGTATTTTGCAGGTTGAAGACACTATCTCTAACTAAATTTTTATATCTCCAGTTTTTTCCTACTACCGATTTTTTTAGGCGACTATGACTCCATGAATTTGACCTGTTTTTGGGCCATTGAGAGTCACTCATGATCATTGAAATTGCATATATTGTTTATATTGCTCTAGATTGTGTTAGTTTATGGAGTTATCTACATACTTTTCCTCTTTAAAGTAGGCCAAAAGCTTCGGAATTCCCAGATGAGAATCGATACTCGATCAATTGAGGGAGAAGATGATTTTGATCAAAGTCTCCATCTATCATATTGATAATTGGATATTGGAAGTATGGGATGAATTAGAATCGATATTGGATGAAACTGTGTTAACCCAATTGATATCAATTTGGGGTTATGTTGAGTTGAGTAAGTGAAGTGGAATTACACTTCAGGTAATAACAGGAGAACGTACCTGTTGAAAAGTTTGGCAAAAATATCACAAACTAAAAAAAAAAAATAATAATAATGGTTTTATTTTGATTTTCTGATTATTATTTGGAATTTCTAATATTGCTATAGTATTAAGTCTTTACACTAAAATATACTGTATATAATATAGATAAACAATATAAAACATTTTAAAGTATTATAATTTTTAACGACTTACTAATTATTTATTTTCGATCTCAGGGAATCTGATAGAAAATGAAACATCAGTGGATCATTAGACCTTTATGGCTTATAGAAATGAGGACAAAAAAGACATGTTGTGGATTCTAGGAAAAAATACCTAGTTCTACTACCTTGGTAATCAAAGAAGAAATTTTCTTATTTAACTCCTCTGTTCGAAAGGGCGCATAACAGTATCGATTGAAACCTTTCCTTACAAATGGAAAGTAAAATTATTATTTCAAAATTTTCATAAATATGTTAAATGTGTTTTAAATTTTTTAGCCCCCACTTAATTGATCTTTATATCTTAATTTTTTAATTTGAAAAATTTAACCTTAATTTAAAATACTAGAAATAACATTATAATTTCTAAATACATTCATGTTCTATTTTATATTTTTGTTTTGATTTTTAACATTTAATCTTACATGTCTTAAATTTTCATAATCATTAAAATATTTTATTTTATTTTAAATATTTGTCTGTTCGATGAAAATATAATACTAAAATTATAAAAAAATATAATGGGATGAATCTGAATAAAAACAAGAAAGAAGATAAAATAAGTTGAAATTAGAAAATTAGATAAAAAAATAAATGTAGATAAAAAAAACTTAATTAAGTTTGATTTAGAAAAAAATGGTGTAAAATTAATTAAAATTGGAAATTGGGGAATATAAATGAGAATTAAAAGAATTTTTTTTTTTAATTATAACTCAATTAAATTGTTTATCTAATCATAAAATTAACAAAATTTTCGTTAAACTGTACTCTTAGAATCTCCACAGTAATAATCTTTTTTCCCTAAGCTCCATTTGATAAAGCCAACCAAAACTCGGCATGTGATATGGCCGCTTTGTTCCCGGCTTCCGGCGCTCTTCAAAAGACAAATCTCTATGAGCCAAATGAATCATCTCATCGGTAAAAACAAACTAACCAAAGTCTCACTTTCCATTGGAAAACTAAAATCTTCTCTTGCAGTTATCGGTAGCAGCCCATCAGTAATCATTAGTAAACATGAGCCTGATGTCACTGCTTTTGACCCTTTTCATTTCTTCAGTCATCATTCTAAAACAAAACGCTACACCATCAGAGACGCTAAAATTATACATACCCATTTGCTTAAATCAGGTTTACTGCAAACCAATATTTTTTTCTCCAATTCTTTGCTTGATTGTTACTGTAAGTCATCTTCTATGGTTAATGCACTCAAGTTGTTCGATACAACTCCTCAGTTAAACGTTATTTCTTGGAATATTATGATTTCTGGTTATAATAATGGTTCTTTATTCGAGGATTCTTGGAGGTTATTTTGTAGGATGCTCTTTTTTGGTTTTGAACCTGATGAGATCACCTATGGCAGTGTTCTTTCTGCTTGTTCCGCATTGCAAGCTACTTTGTTTGGTATGCAAGTTTATTCCTTAGCAATTAAAAATGGATTCTATACAAGTGGCTATGTTCGGGCTGGAATGATAGATTTGTTTGCGAAGAATTTTACTTTTGAGGATGCTTTGAGGGTGTTTGGTGATGCTTCATGTGAGAATGTTGTTGTTTGGAATTCTATTATATCTGGGGCTGTGAGGAATGGAAATTACTGGATTGCTTTGGATCTGTTTCGCCAAATGGATCATAGGTCTCTGGTTCCAAATAGTTATACATTTTCGAGTGTTTTGTCGGCTTGTGCTACACTTAGGGAACTTGAGATTGGGAAAGAAATTCAAGGGAAGTTGATCAAGTGTGGTGCAAAAGATGTTTTTCTGGGGACTGCTGTTGTTGACTTGTATGCTAAATGTGGAGATCTAGATGATGCTAAGAAAGAATTCTCGCGAATGCCAATCCGTAATGTGGTTTCTTGGACTGCTATCATTTCTGGCTTTGTGCAGAAGGGTGATTCTTTCTTTGCCCTCAAATTTTTTAAAGAAATGAGGAAAACGAGGGTGGAAATTAACATCTTTACAGTTACAAGTGTAATTGCTGCCTGTGCAAAACCATATATGATGAAAGAGGGAGAAGAGATACATTCATGGATTCTAAAAACTGGATTCTATTTGGATCCAGTGGTGGTGGCTGCACTAATCAATATGTACTCAAAAATAGGGCATATTGGTTTAACTGAGAAGGTGTTTAGAGAGATGGAAGATAGAGTGAGTCCAAGTACATGGACTGTTATGATATCTTCTTTTGTTCAGAATCAGAGTTCTCAAAAGGCAATTGAATTGCTACAAAGAATGTTATGGGAAGGTCTGAAACCTGATAACTTTTGTATTTCTAGTGTTTTAAGCGTTATAGACTCTTTAGATTTGGGGAGACAAATCCACTGCTGTGCTCTTAAAGCTGCCTTGATACATGATCTTTCTGTTGGTTGTTCTCTTTTAACAATGTACTCCAAGTGTGGGAGTTTAGAGGAGTCTTATAAAGTGTTTGAGCAAATTTCTATCAGAGACAGTGCTTTGTGGGCCTCAATGATTGCCGGATATTCGGAATATGGCTTTACACATTTAGCTTTTCAATTATTCAGGGAGATGCTATTTGAAGAAACTATGGTCGACCAACAGACTCTCTCTGCAATTCTTAAATCTTGTTTTGCTCTTCCTTCTCTGAAAAAGGGTAAGGAAGTTCATGGGTATGCTCTTCGTGCTGGAATTGACAAAGAAACACTTATTGGTGGTGCACTTGTAACCATGTATTCAAAGTGCAGTGCACTAAAGTCAGCTAGGAGGGTGTTTGACATTCTACCTCTAAAAGATCAGGTTTCATGCGCTTCTTTAATTTCGGGATATGCCCAAAATGGGTTAATTGAAGATGCAGTCTTGTTGTTCCATGAAATGCTGATGTCCGATTTGGCAGTTGATTCCTTCATGCTTTCATCTGTTCTTAGAGCTATTTCTCTCTTGAACAGATCAGGCCTTGGGACTCAACTGCATGGCTACATCATAAAAATGGGTTTAGACTCTGAAATTGCTGTTGCAAGTTCGCTTGTTACAATGTATTCAAAATCTGGAAGTGTTGAAGATTGCTGTAAAGCATTTGAACAGATTGATGAACCTGACTTGATAGCTTGGACAGCTTTGATAACAAGCTATGCTCAAAATGGAAAAGGGGCAGAGGCTTTGAGAGTCTTCGAGCTTATGAAGAATAAAGGAAACAGACCTGATTCAGTGATCTTTGTCGGGGTTTTATCTGCTTGTAGCCATAATGGTTTGGTTGAAGAGGGATATTTCCATTTTAATTCAATGACCAAAGACTATGGAATCGAGCCTAATAACTATCACTATGCTTGTATGGTTGATCTTCTTGGTCGCTCAGGGAGATTAGAAGAGGCTGATAAGTTCATAAAAAACATGCCCATAGAACCTGATGCTTTGGTATGGGGAACGCTGCTTGCTGCTTGTAAAGTGCATGGAGATATTGAACTTGGAAGGGTAGCAGCTGAGAATGTTATGAAGTTGGATCCACGCGATGCTGGAGCTTATGTTTCCTTGTCAAATATCTGTGCCGAAGTTGGCCACTGGGAAGACGTCCTGGAGGTCAGGAGCCAGATGAGGGGAGCTGGAGTTGACAAGGAACCTGGTTGGAGTCTTATGTGAAATAAAGCTGCGATCTGAATGGTAAATCTTGATATATCTCGGAAGCCTACAAACTGGTTGGAGTTTGGCACATATCTGGTAATCAGTCAATGTTCTACTAAAAATTGGCGTTCATGTTCACATTAAATCAGATGGAACATATGACAGACTGATCAAGATCCCAACAGACTGTTAGTTGCTATATTGGTTATCAATGCAGGGAGGAAAAAATTCAAATTTGTGCGGCAAAATACTTCATTAAACTTAGCATCCTTTGCAATCCTGTAAGTCATCAAATCCCCACTTTGTGTTCTTTTGCTTTTTCTTCATGTATAAGGTTGGAATCTAATGTGAATTTTTGACCTATAAGATTATTTGGGAACAAGTGCATATTATGAGAGCATGCAGCCTATCTCAGATTGTCCTCTCCATAACTGTTTGATATTCTGTAAATTGTAACTCTGCTCACTTATTTGAAGTGCTAGTGACATTCAACTTTCAGCCTTTCACCCTGATTGTCATGTATGTGAGCAAATTGATTATCTCACAGTATTGTTTTCCTTTGCAGGATCGGGTTCTTTGGCTCTCAAGTAGCTTGGAATTGCAGGACAAGTGAAGTGCGTTATGGTTAGTTTTGGATATCTATAATGCCAGAGAAATAGCAGCATGGACAGCGAGCTCTTTCTACATAGAAATCAATGTACAAA